GGGAGCTGGGGCCCCTGTGCTCTGGCCCACGCCCCGATGCACAGCCCAGTGTGGTGCAGAGCAGGCAGCTGCAGGCACGTTTCCTCTGCTCCCTCTCCCGAGCCAGAGCGCTCCTGACACCGCGTGTGCCCTGGGAGCGGCCCCTGCCCTCTCTGAAGCCTACAGCAGGGCGGCGAGCAGGGGAGGGGGGGCTCAGCTGCTGCCCAGGGTGCTCATACCTGTGCCGATGCTGACCACCTCCCCCAGGCCCGTGCCTCCTCTCCGCATGATGATGGCAGCCAGGATCTTCCTCCCCAGCAGGCTGTGCTGGATGCGGGCGGTGAGGGCGTTGAAGCGCTGGTGGCTCAGCATGGCCAGCTGGTCGTGCAGGGTGCTGCCACTCACGGGGAGCTGCAAGGGGGACACGAGACCAGGGGCACAGGACAGCTCAGGGCCGGCAGCCCCCGCGCCACGGGCGGCACCACAGCAAACCTCAGCTGCAGTCAGTGTAGCTCTGGGCTGAGTGCAGACTGCATCGTGTCAAGGGGTGGGTGAAGTTCCTTTAGGTATTTCTGGGAAAACCTCGACCTGCACTTTGAGTTCTGCTCTGAGAACATCACTAAGAGGCAACAGCAACCAACCTTCCTGGCAGCGAGCGAAACGGGCTGATGGGGAAACCCCCCTCGCAGAGGGACAGAGCCCAAACTGCCTGTTCCCAGAGACACAGCCAAGGAACTGCTCCTGGCTCCAGAGGAATTCCTCCCCTGGCTGTGGGTGAGGAGGCTGCAGAGTCACTGCTGTTCCCAGCCAGGCACTGGGCTCCTCCAGCACTGCTGACTGTCAAATCCTCCCCGATGGCTTTTCTATTTAGAGCCACAGCTGCTCTGCAGCCTCAGAACGTGGCTTTTAAAAGATCACAAAACTCTAAGTGTGATTTAAAGCAGCCCAGGCTTGGCACAGCCATCCTGACACGAGCAGAGCTTTGCTCTTAGCTGATGCAGGAGTTTTTGAGCTGACACACAAGTTTTAATGCAGCATGAAGGAATTTGGAAGGAGGAGAGAGAAAAAAAAAAAAAGTCAGAGAATTAAAAATGAGCATGTCCCTGCTCCACCACTGAACACGTTTCAGTAGCTGTGGAAGAACCTGATGATGATTTAGCCCTGAAGCACAGGCCAGCAGGGGGGAAGAGAACGACTGTGCCCTGAGGAGATAACAGCTTATCTACACCTCCAGAGAACAAAGAGCTCACAGTTGATCCTGAAGGCATTTTTCTGCTGTAAGGCACAGGACAGGCAGGGCTACAAAAGCAGTCCCAGCTGTGGAGGGGGAGGATTTACCTCGGTGATGTTGGTCCCCTCCATGCGCTCCATCTTCTCCGTCTCCCCGATGAGGACTCGGAGGGCGGCGTCGGCCGCCTCCTGCTTGCCCTGCTTCTTACTGTGTGCAGTCACCGCCGGGAACCAGCGGCCTCCGACCTTGGCCTGATAGACAAACCTGCAGAGACAGCAGCACACTGCTGACAGACAAACCTGCAGAGACAGCAGCACGGCGCTGAGAAACCAGGGAACCCGTGGAGCCCAGTCTGCCTCCCAGAGCCCCCGCGGGAGCAGAGCGTTCCTCGCTCCCTGTCACCCGGGCTGGCAGGGGCAGCAGCTCGGACTGCTGCTGTCTCAAACTGCATCAGGACTTTTACATTCCCTGCCCTTTCTCCAGGACAACAGCAACAGTTCAAAGCGTCCTTCTGGACAGAGGCAGCTGCTTACTTGGGGTCGTGGGGAGGTCCTGACTGGTCGATGAGCTTGAACTCGGCGGCAAAGCCGTTGGAGCGAGCGTATTCCAGCAGGCCGCTGACAGGGTTGACATTAAGGTATTTGATCAGCTCCCCAACACCCTTTGCTTTTGCTGCCTTGGATTCCTCTGGAGAGGTGATCCCTGGTCCAGAGCTGTGCGTGGACTGGTCACTGTGGGGCTTCAGGACAGGCTAGAGCAGAGCCAGGCAGAAGAAGGCTGTTAAATGCTGAGCAGTTGGTGTTACCACGGGCCACGAGCACTCTGCAGATCTCTGCTAGAGCCAGCAAGTGACTTTGTGGGGTGAAATCCAGTGGAATATGAAATAGAGGAGGGGGAAACCCAACCCAAAACACCTCAGTCTTATAAAAAAGCTCTTTGTACCTGTTCAGGCAAGACGTGGGGTACAGATTCTCCAGAAAGAATCTTCACAGCAACTTCTGCTGCCATTTGCTTTGCTCCCTTCTTGCTGTTTCCTACCACAGCAGGGAAAATTTGGTCACCCATTTTCACACAGTAGCTGAACCTGACAGGACACCACAGCACATGAAAAGTGTTAAGCAGAGGTGTAACATAAGAGCTGTCATTTTATCCCCTTCTCCCAGCTCAAGTTAAATCCATCTCAGTTATCTCCCATTTAAATCTACCACACAATGGCCCTAAATCAAAGAATGGTTTTGGTTGGAAGAGACCTTTCAGCCCCTCGAGTCCAGCCATGCCCCCAGCACTGCCAGGTCCCCACTGCCCCGTGTCCCTCACCCCACATCTCCACAGCCTGGGAACCCCTCCAGGGGTGGGGACTCCACCACTGCCCTGGGCAGCCTAAAATACTCCCAACAGAGCACTACCAGGGAGGGTACAGGACTGGAACCTGTTCCTGGTCTGGCAGGAGAAACAGCATCCTTCCTTTGAGAAAGGGCACTGGTTTCACTGGTTTTGATCTCTCTCTGGAGGCAAATGTCTTGGAGGAACCGTTCCCAGCCTCCTCAGCTACGAGGTGCTGGGTCAGTGGTGAGTCCAGGAGCACGGGCAGCGTGCTGAGGAGGAAGGATAACAAGGAAAGGGTTTCCATCCTCCCCAAAGCTGACAACAACCTGCCATACCTAGGATCGTGAGGGGGGCCTTCCTGAGAGAGCAGCTGGAATTCGACCGTGTTCCCTGATTTTTGTCCATACTCCATTAATATGCTGATGGGGTGCTTCCCAGGAAGCAGGTTGAGATGAGCTGGCGCAGAGGACGGCTCTGGCTCGGGGTGCAAAGGCTACAGCCAGGAGATGAGGAAAACCAATTTCAGACTAACCGCTGCTCGACCAGCCTCAGGGGGCCAAGAGAGCAAGACTCACCAAGGCTGGCTCAGAGTTCTCGGGGGCAACCTGCTCCTCACACTTAATTCCACCCTGTCTTCCATTCTCCACTTCACTCATCAGCACCTTCATGGCGTTAGCTGCTGCCTCCTGCTTAGCAAGCTTCTTGCTCCCTGCTTCTGCTGGTGGGAACCGGCGCCCGTTGATCACTGCCTGGAACTTAAACCTTTGAAAGAGAAGAACAGAGAGGTGAATCGAGAGGCAAAGGCATGGCCATGGCAGGGCAAGCGTGTGAGGCTGCCCCTGGCATGCCAGTGGGCAGGAACAGCCAGTTCCTGGTCAGGAGAGCAAACCCAGGCTGCCGTGGGAAAAAGAATCTCCTGCCACCAAGGGTGCCCCGACAGCTCAGAGCCTCACTTCAACGGGTTTCCAGAGCAGCTCGTGGCAGAGAAGCAGCCCCAGTGTCCTGATGAAGGGAGAACGTAACAGGAGGAGCTGCCACGTTCCACAGGCACTGACACGTAATGCACCCCGCTCAGGACTCTGGCCCAGGGATGAGGAAAGCCTCAGAGCAGCCTGGGCTGTTCCAACAGCCATCAGAGTCCCTCCACGTGTTCCCTGGCTGTCTGGTGCCTCCACACCATCTCAGAGAGCTGCTGCCTCACAGAAACCTCCCACTGTGATGCTTCTCTCTCTCCTTCCTCCCAGCTCCCACAAACATGGCTTCTCTCCCAGCCCTACACAGAGGAAACCAGCTTCCAACGAGAACAGGTCAAACCATATCTGGAGAGGGGTTATGGGGCTGAATCCATTCAGATCTCTCCTTAAAAAAAAGCCCGGGACTCCATCTTTAGAAATGAGGCCTATTTTCCTGTCTGGCAGACCCACTGCCATGTCCCAGCATGGCTCCCAGGGTGCTTGTCACAGCCACGCTGGTGCTCGGGAGCAGCCACCGCTTCACAGGGGACAGCAGGACCCAGAGGGTGACTCCTCAGTCCCCTCTGCCAGGCTCTGTGCCCTGCCCCATCACACCACAGAACATCCAGAGTGAGTCCTCCTCACCTGACCCGAGGTCTCTGCACCCACGTGCTACGTTCAGGCCTCCCTGACACCATGCCCAGGGTGAGAGGCCTTGGGCAGCAGCTCAGAAACATCAGTTTCCCCCAGTTTTCACTGCCCTGAAAGCCAAGTGATTGAACAGACAGGACCTGGCTCAAGAGAGGAACCCCACCTTTGCTGTGTGAGGTGCAGGGTTGCCAAAAGTGGCTACGTGGGGTTAGATTTTAGTCTGTTGGGGTTTTTTTTTTTGGCTGCTGCAAGGAACCAACCAGACTGATCCTCCTGAAATGAAGTACTGGCTAACAAGCAGGCCCTTCGGGACAAACGAGCGGGTGAAGTTAGCTGAAGTCAGATAGTTTTAAGCAAAAAGACAGCTCAGGACAGGTAGGAAATTCTTACCGTGGCTCGTGCGGGGGTCCACTCTGCTCCAGCATGTCGAACTCACAGTGCTGGTAGGTGTACTGGGAATATTCAGTCAGGCCACTCACTGGGTTCTTCTCCTGACAAGCCATCAGCTTCTCCACCGGCGTGCAGGGGAAAGGAGCGTCAAACTGGGCGGTGTAACTGGGGGAAGACTGGGAATTCATGATGGACTCCGACTCCTCGGGCTGCCGCTTGATTGTGTTCAGATTATCTGGGATATCATCCGTGGCCCACTTGTCGTTCTCGGAATTATCATAGTTGCTCAGACTG